CTTGAAAATTTGTTTAGGAGCAATGTTTTATAAAGGGTTTAATTGGGTTCAGAAGGAAGGGGGGGGAGTGCAGGTGGACAGGGTTCAGAAGGAATTCAAACCCTCATTAATTGGGTTTCCAATTTAAAGATTTAGGGCAAAAAAAATAGCATTATAGAGGTACCATTTTTCAAACAGGGGGGTCTGAATAATTTTGGAAAAATTTAGCATTATAGAAGTCCCCTTTACTAATCGTGATCCAACATTAAAACAGGTGGTCTTGTAAGTATACAGTACAAGAAGTAAAACTAGAGATTGTAAGCGGTGGCGATGTTCAAAATGCAAGCATGGCAGCAAAAGGGTAGGAAAAAAACAAAGCTTAGAAAAAGCAAAGCATCCCCATCACTTGGCCCATCCAGGCCATTCTCACTTAAGCATCGCAGGGCCCCACGGAAGCGCGAAAGTACTTGTTGCGCTTCGCAGCCATGTAGCAGGCCTCAAAGGGGTCACAGCCGCATCGAGAGGAACACGGTCCGCACAGCACATTGCGAAGTCGGGAGTCATTGAGATGTCGGCCACTTTTCTTTCGGAAGAGGTATAGTCCTCGTCAGGGACAGCCGAGGTGTTGGGATTTATGGCAGATCTGGCAAGATCAAAAGGGTCCTTCCATTGTTTCTGGGGCACCTCTAAGGTGCTATTTGACACCAAATTCTTCAGGCTGAAGAAGCTGCTCTCGCCCGTGGCATTGTAGACTTTCGGACCCAACTCGGGATCCTGCGCGGGGACACGCAGCGGACCTCCGGGGAGCTCAGGGGAAAGCCCGACCCGCAGGAGTTGGACCTTGCGATTGCTCCACCTACACAGATTCCGCTCCAGGTTCGGGGCTTTGATGCTGGCCAAGCCGCCACTTCGATCAGCTCTTGCCGATCGTCGATGATTAACATGACCAGACCATCCAAGCGATCCCAATCAGGCTCGTTGTCAGGAACCTTGGGCACAGTGATCCAAATACTTTAGAAGTTTGAAAGCTAGGGCAACAGAGATGATGGCCGATCCCGGTACCATCTGAGACCTGGGCTGGCACAGCCGCGCTTCCTCCGGCGATGGCACCTGTCGCGAGCGACTTGCTGATCAGCCACATGTCGGTCTATCCCGCGGTTGAATGCGTTGCATGCCGAACACTCAGGACTTCTCTCAAGTTCTCTGGAGAAACTACTGCACCAATCAACTGGCGCTCCTTGATCTCCGGCCGATGAAACCCCGCCTGATGGGGTAGCCAACGGAGCCGCCTTCTTCCGCTTTGGAAGCCCAAAGCTCATGGACGACACCATGCTGCCAACACCGACACCGTGCTAAGGTTGCAGAAGAATGCTCGCTGCATGCATGTAACTAAATTCGCACTATCATCATCATTGAAAAATGATGAAAAATGTGTGCTGTCAATAGAACTAGGCCCTCTCTCCACTATCACATCTATCACTAAAGTAAAGGCTTCTACTTTGAGTTGCATGGCACTCAGGACTCAGAAACACAATTGTTGAAGTCTCTTCCAACTGTTGGCATTTTGAAGCGTCTCGAAAGCCAACTGCGGCAGTTAAGACCTGCTGGAAGCAGCGCATGCTTTCGGGGTGACAAAACAAGGCCAAGGAAACCCTCAAGACTCAAGATCTCTTCTTCTCGCCCAGTTCATGGGACTGGACCCGAACTCGTCTTCGGGGTCAACGAGTTCGGGTCGTCCCCCACCCGTCCGAGCTCCGGGGCGAGGTCCAGCGGCCAACCTTGGTGGAGTCGTTCGTCCGTGCACCACACAGGTTCGGTCATGGAGTTGTTCGTCCGTGCACGTGGAGCGCGACTCCTAAGCTGCCCCGCATCTCGGATCCGTCCACGGGTCCTTGGTGTTGGCACTCCCAATGTGTGCCAGAGGTGCGATGGTTGTTGGTTGTGGAGCATCGGATTCGTTCAACACAAGAAGATGTCTTTTGATGTCCTTGGCACTTCCTATGTTGTAGAAACTCGAGGTGCAAAAGGTGAAGCCGGATCACTGAGCCGAGCGCTGTGGGCTTCAACCTTACAGCAGGTGCTACACTCCAGCGGGTGGTTCCAGCAAATAGACCAACACTTCATTTACTTGAGGCCAAGGGGGGGGGCGAAAGCTAGCGCTCCAGAATGGGAAAGTGGAGGGCAGCGAGGTAGGAAAAAAAAACGTCGCTCTTTTTGGAGGCAGTCGCACGGAGTAGCAGAAGGCAGGACGCCTTGCACAAGTTGGGCGGGGCAAACGATTCCAGGTGAAGAGTCCTTTATATGTGGCTCTTTGCCCGGATCCTCCTGCGAGAGAAGAGAGAGAAGAGAGACGGAAAGACGAGAGACAGAGAGGAGAGAGAGAGAGAGAGGAGAGAGAGATGAGAGAGAGATGAGAAAGAGATGAGGGAGAGATGAGAGAGATGAGAGAGAGATGAGAGAGATGAGAGAGAGAGAGAGACAGTGAGAGTGAGAGTGAGAGTGAGAGTGAGAGTGAGAGTGAAAGTGAGAGTGAGAGTGAGAGTGAGAGTGAGCGAGTGCGGCCGCAAGATACGCAACGCTAACCGCATGCCAAAGAGCGACGACAGGACGGAGTCGAACTTGCGAAGAGGGAGGAGGGAGGGAGGGAGGGAAGGTGGGAGGAAGACGAGGAGGAGAGGGGAGGTGGGGAGAGAGGGGGGGGGGCTTCGACCTGAAAGATCAGGGGTTAGGATTTGCACCCGATCGAAAGAAACCTTGCTATCGCAAGAGTAACTCCAGCTAGCTTCGCTAGCTTTCGTGAATTGGGACGTCCCATATTCATTGGGTATATCCCTGGATGATGATGGTCAGTAAAGGCCTTTCTCGAGGATAGTGCGATAATTAATTGCTTACCGACTGTTGCAGGTATGGGACACCTTCAAAATATTCTCACACACCCCACTGCACCTTGAGTCGTTCTTTTGCTGGGTTCGGCACCCCAGATCCATGTACCGCCTGCTCAGCCCTGGTGGCTACGATCCAGAATTGGTCTCTCATTGAACAGGGTTGGAAAATTCAGGAAGGTGTTTAGCTGCATCCATGAAATTCAATTCAGCTCTATTCAAAAAACTCTTCAGAAAACACCCGAACAACATGTTTCATCTGGCCTGTCGATCGTCTTCCGAAAGCTTTCTGGCAAAGGAGTGATCTGGGGAGTGAACAGCCTGAAAGGAGGCAAGTCAAGCTCATTCAAATTCTGGCGCCGGGCGGCGCACCCCTCTTTTTCAGGCAACTACTTACTGGTGTCTCTCCAGAGCTGTGTTACACAGCAAAAAGAAACCTGGCAGAGCTGCCCGGGGCCCAAGGGACTGGCGCAACAATGAGAAGCGTTCAGGCGCTGCGGCACCGTGACCGGGCAAAAGCGAGCCTCTTCATGGATGGGCCACACCTCAAATTGAGGCCACAAAGAACAAAGAGTCCGAAACGCCTTGTATGGACACCTCCCAAGACACCCTTTGAGTCTTTCTATCCACAACTATTCCACCACCACCGGGTCCTTGAAAAAGGAGATCGGTACTTCTGCAAGCCCCTGCTCTGTTTGGAAGGGCAAATGCACCGGAATCAAGCGCAAATGCATCGAAATCATTTGGGTCCTGGCTTTGGCTCAGGTTTGGATGAATTGTGCATTTTGTACAAGTCAAAGGCCTCAGAGTCGTGTGCACGAGCATGCGTTCACACATCACCAGTGTGCTGTCACCCTAAATCTGCCACAGAAAGTGAACGAGTCACAGGCCAGTGAAGGTGGTAAACCTACCTTCGCTGCCTCCTGGCAAGCTGAGAGCTACAAGAAATGAAGACCGCGATCAGCAGCTGAGCTCTGACTTGTTTCAAGCAACAACATCTCCGTCCTGCAAAGGGTCGTCCGGAAAATTGGGGATCTTCTGGCAAGAGGCACGGGCCCCTGCTAATGTACCGTTCTGCCCGGCGGCCAACTGCCGCCCCATCTCGCGGGCACGCTCTCCACATCCATTGGACGCGCGTGAAACATCGGGTTGCGAAGGGTACGGCACATGGAGCTGCGTGGGTTGCCCAAGAGCTCCAGGCCTCAGCTGGATGCGGCCAGAAGATGTGGGCAAGGAAGCGATGATTTCTTCATCCCCGGAAATGGGTGAAATCACGTGAAATCCGTCGTCGGTGCCTTGAATTGGAAAGAAAAAAAAAATCTCTCTCTCTCTCTCTCGTCTCTCATCTCCCCGAGTGGATCCCGTTGTGACCCACGAAAATGGTTGACCTACGCAATGGCAGAATGAAGGGGCAGAATGGTGGGAATCCAAACCTGGTCTTCATCCAATTGAGATACAGCAATAGCTGGCACTTTGTGGGAGTGTCTCAAAGCAACGGAGAGGCTGCGTCTATCTTAATTAGTCATAGTCATATGTGTGTTCAAACTACTAGGCACAATATATAATAGAGCGAGGCGGCAGACTGTTTCAGGAATCTCCTCCTGTTCCTTTTGAGTCAGAATGTATTTTGTCATTTTCCGGCACTCCACGCATCCTAAGCCAGCGACCCGCACCGTCCAGTGTCAGAGTCAGCACCTGAAGTGTGGATCTTGGATTGAACACAGGCCCATGCTCTGCTCAGAAACCATGCCAGCTGGTTGTCTCCCCTCTGATTCAGCAGGCTCTGATTCTAGTTCTTCCAGAACCTCCAGCCCAAATCCAAGTCAAAACGCCCTTATTTTGAGCCCTCTCCAGCTGCCAAAATGGACCCAAAATCGATCAAGCTCACCGTGCGCTGCCCCATTCTTGGCCCTCCACTTGACCGCAGTGATCCGGCCTTGGTCCAGACTGTCTGAGATCGATCAAACTCTTCGAAGTCTAAGGTCGCATCACTGCGAGCACGAGGCATGCCAGGCATGCCAGGCATGCCGGAGACCCTGCTTGGCCTCCAGAATCAGAATCGGACGCTCCCAACAATCCCATCGCCGACCCATCCGGTCGGAGGTTCGGGGGTGCAAACCCGTTTGGTCCAACAGCAATCAACTTGAGCATGGCTGAAGCCCGCCTTTCACCAGGCCCACTGCCTGCAAGTGAGGCTGGAAGAGTCTCTGAAGGACAACATGCTCGTGTCAAACGGCCTCAAACAGTCTGTGAAAGCTATGCTCGTCTACCCATCCCGAGAATGAGTCTTGCTTAACCGTTCAAGATCCATCCGCGTTGATTTTCAAAAATAACCACTCATCACAACTCTTCTCTCACTCCCCTTCACCTGGCTCCAGCCGCATCCGGCTCAGCTCTGCCACACCGGCCATGAGTTTCGACACACCACCAGGCCCTTTCTGTCGAGCCTGCCACGTCTTCGCCCGGTTCGGAGCCACGGGTCCGGGCCCAGTGTCGACGAGGCGCCGGTGGCGTCGTGGTTTTTCGGGCGAATCCAAAGCGGCGAAGCAAAGGGTAGACCAACATTGAACACATCTGACCCCTGACTGGCAGAAGGGAACCGTGCAAGGTGATGCTTAGCTTGTAATATGCATCCTCAACCTGTTGTACTCCTTTCCATTTTCTGGGGGCCTTTTCTGGGTCATGACCAGTAGCAAGGGTCCTTCTAGCCGCTTGATCTTGGGGACACCCATGTTATAGCAGCGGAGGTTCAAATTCACAGTTGTGATTAATGGAAGTGAAGAAGGCAGGATGTTGACCATAGGATGGCCTCCCAACCCACTAGTATCCTGGAAAATATCCTGCAATCCATTACTTATATTCTATAATTACACCACCGTAGACCCCAAACAGTTTGTGTTTTTCAACATCGAAACTAGAGCTTGCGACGTCCAGAGCTGGGAGACAAAGGACTGGAAGGCAGAGGCGGCCACAGCAACCCAGAGCTGGGAGACGAGTGTAGAGGATTGCAAGGCAAAGACGGACACAGCAGTACAGAGCGGGCGGACACATCTTAAGAAAGAATTGAGAAGCCCTGACAGTAAACCTCTTGGGGAATTATTCTTCAAGTGCGAACATGATGCTGGTCATGCTGCTCAATCAGCAAGGAGCTGACCGCGTGAGGACAAGAAATAGAAGCATGAGGAGCGAAGGATGTGACATGAAATTGATGTTTGGTGCCTGACGCATGCCCTGAGACTGTCACAAAATCCAATCCGGTCATTCATGGAACGCTTGCCCGAAAAGGAAATCAAAGCTGAGAGAGTTACACAGTGTGGCAGGAATGCACTCCCGGAGACAGTCCGGCAGAAAACAGCAGCGCAGGCACCAGGCAAAAAGACAAAAGTCGCACGGGAGACAAATGCATAGAAATGCTACATGGCCAGCGGAAAAGGGCGGCAGCACCAGTGTAGAAAGCTGCATGGCCAGCGGAAAAGGGTGGACACCAGCAGTGACAGACCTGGAAAACAAATGAATAGAATGTTGCATCGCCAGCGGAAAAGGGCGGACACCCAACAGTGACAGACCTGGGAGACTGATGCATGGCCGACGGAAAAGGGCGGACACAGCAGTGACAGACCTGGGAGACAAATGAATAGAAATGCTGCATTGCCTGCGGAAAAGGGCGGACACCAGCACACCTGGGAGACAAATGAATAGAAATGCTACCTGGCCAACAGGGCGGACACCAGCAGTAACGGACCTGGGAAACAGATGAATAGACATGTTTCATGGCCAACGGACAAGGGCGGACACCACCACTAACAGACCTGAAAGACAAATGAATAGAAATGCTACATGGCACCAGCAGTGATGGACCTGGGAGACAAATGAATAGAAATGCTTCATGGCCAATAGACACCAATGACAGACCTGGGAGACAAAAGAATAGAAGTGCTACATGGTCAGCGGAAAAGGGCGGACACCACCAGTGACAGGCTGGGAGACACATGAATCAATCAGCGGGGAGCTGACCACGTGAGGACAAGAAATAAAAGCATGGGGAGCGAAGGATGCGACATGAAATTGATTTTTGGCGCGTGACGTACGCCCTCCGTCCCAACTGAACAGGGAGATCGCTGCCACGCCGCCGAAAATCAATCCGGTCTTTCATCCAACGCTTGCCCGAAAAGGAAAACAAAGCGGAGAGAGTTACACAGTGTGGCAGGAATGCAATCCCGGAGACAGTCACGCACCCCTTTCAAAGGAGCAAGAACCTTTCACAGGTGAACCTGTTCCAGCGGACAGGGCAGAAAACAGCAGCGCAGGCACCAAACCTGAAAGGCAAAAAGAAAGAAATCACATGGGAGACAAATAATAGAAATGCTACATGGCCAGCGGAAAAGGGCGGCAGCACCAGCGACAGACCCGGGAAACAAATGAACAGACATGCTGCGTGGCCAGCGGAACAAATGAATAGAAATGCTTCATGGCCAACGGACAAGGGCGGACATCACCAGTGACAGTCCTGAAAGACAAATGAATAGAAATGCTACATGGCACAAGTAGTGACGGACCTGGGAGACAAATGAATACAAATGCTTCATGGCCAATAGACAAGGACACACCAGTGACAGACCTGGGAGACAAAAGAATAGAAATGCTACATGGCCAGCGGAAAAGGGCGGACACCACCAGTGACAGGCCTGGGAGACACATGAATAGAAATGCTGCATGGCCAACGGACAAGGGCGGACACCAGCAGTGTAGAAATGCTGCATGGCCGGCGGAAAAGGGCGGACACTGAAATGAATAGAAATGATACATGGCCAACGGAAAAGGGTGGACACCAGCAGTGGCAGACCTGGGAGACAAATGAATAGAAACAGCGGAAAAGGGCGGACACCACCAGTCACAAGCCTCGGGGACAAGTGAATAGAAATGCTGCATGGCCAGCGGAAAAGGGCGGACACCAGCAGTGACAGACCTGGGAGACAAATGAATAGTGCCTGCGGAAAAGGGCGGACACCGCAGATGACAGACCTGGGAGACAAATGAATAGAAATGCTACATGGCCAGCGTCCACGAGCGGACACCACCACTGCCTGGGAGATGCGTAGAAATGCTGGACACCAGCAGGGACAGACCTGGGAGACAAATGAATGGAAAATGCTACATGACAAACGAATAGAAATGCTACATGGCCAGCAGAAAAGACCTGGCAATCAAATGAATAGAAATGCTACATGGCCAGCGGAAAAGGGCGGACACCAGCAGTGACAGATGTGGCAGACAAATGAATAGAAATGCTACATGGCCAGCAAAAAAGGGCGGACACCACCAGTGACAGGCCTGGGAGACAAATGAATAGAAATGCTGCATGGCCATCGGAAAAGGGCGGACACCAGCAGTGACAGACCTGGGAAACAAATGAATAGACATGTTGCATCGCCAGCGGAAAAGGGCGGACACCGCAGACTGGGAGACAAATTAATAGAAATGTTGCATGGCCAACGGAAAAGGGCGGACACCACCAATGACAGACCTGGAAGACAAATGAATAGAAATGCTACATGGCCAGCGGAAAAGGGCGGACAGCAGCGGTAACAGACCTGGGAGACAAACGAATAGAAATGCTACATGGCCGGCGAAAAGGGCGGACGCCAGCAGTGACAGACCTGGGAGACAAATGCATAGAAATGCCACACGACCAGCGAAAAAGGGCGGACACCACCAGTGACAGATTTGGGGGACAAACGACTAGAAATGCTGCATGGTCACCGGAAAAGGGCGGACACCAGCAGTGACAGACCTGGGAGACAAATGAATAGAAATGCTCGGACACCAGCAGTGACACAAAGGGCGGACACATCTTAAGATAGAATTGAGAACCCGTAACAGTAAACTGGTTGGCGAAAAAGTGAAGCACTGAGAGCATCCAGGAAGACACATGGGAGACAAGATCATGCGGCCAGAGCACTCAGAGCTTACTGGGAGACAAGTGGGAGACAAGTGGGAGACAAGGGTGAAATCATGCGGCCAGGAACACAAGCCCGGAGACAAACTCAAAATCATCCGGCCCGAGCATGCACCCCTTTAAAAGGAGTAAGAACCCCTCACAGGTAAACCTGTTTGGGGAATGAAAAGAAGTGGGAGACAAATGAAAAGAAGTGGGAGACAAATGAAAGGAAGTGGGAGACAAGCCAGCCGGGAACCCGACCACAAGCACCCAGCCTGAGAGACAAATGAAAAGAACTGGAGACAATTGAAAAGAAGTGGGAGACAAATGAAAAGAAGTGGGAAACAAATGAAAGGAAGTCGGAGACAAGCCAGCACCCAGCCTGGGAAACAAATGAAAAGAACTGGGAGACAAATGAGGAAGTGGGAGACAAGCCGGCCGGGAACCCGACCAGACCATCCAGCACCAAGGCGACCATTCTTTAAAGCATTGAGAACCCCTAACAGTAAACTGTTTGGGGAATAAATAGATATATATATATATATACAACTTGTATATTATGGATATGTGCTTCCATCAAGAAGCCCTGCATAGCCCTGAGTCAATCGATCTTCTCAATTTCATTACGGTGTTTTTCCTTGACCGAAAATGTTATGCCACCAGCCTCGCCCTGCCACAGCCACATCAACACCACCTCCCCAGGAACTCCGCCTGGAGCTTGTTGGTTTCAGCCCAAAGTGCGCTCAACTGGCTGGACTGGTACTTGATGGTATTGCACATGGCCCTGCAAGCGACGCAGCACCCGGCCGTCCGAGCCGGAATGCCACTCACAAGTCCCATCCAGCCTGATCTCCTCTCGCAGTCGCTGGTTTTCCAGCTTTACTGCGGCAGCCTGGAGAAGGACACTGATCCACAGAAAATGTAGCTCTTCAGATGGCGTCATCGATTCGTTCCATCTACTGAAGCTCATTGAAGATCGTAACACACATAACACACCAAGTGGGGTAGTGCGAAAAGCCCGCATCAATTGCAACGTCCCGAAGTCATGTTATCGTTCTTTTACTCTTAACAGTTTCTCAGGTGGTGGGGTCTCTGTACTAGAAATGTGAATTGTCCATCTTCCTGTGGGTGTGAAAGCATCCTTGGTCGAAGGTCAACAAATGTAATCCTTCCCTTTCATTTCCTTTCATTTCGCATTCAGTTCCCTTCATGTAGGTTTCATTTTGCATTCATGTCCTGTAATTGTCCTTTCATGCTCCTTTCATTTTGCATTAATGTCCGTCCATGTTCCTTTCATGTTGCATTCATGTCTTTCGATTTCCTTTAAAATGTGAGATGCTCAAACCGGTCATGTGGGTATCCTCCCAAGCGCTCACACTTTTCTCATATGTCGCTGGTTATCGTTTTGTCGTCGTTTTGGAGGCCTGTGCAGGTTGCCATCTTCAGGGTTCATGAACATGTGTATATATATATATATGTGTGTATATATATATATACATGTACAAGCTCGTGATCGTTTTATGTCACTCTTATCGTTTTCTGGGCCAGCAATGCATGAGTAGTGTTTTCTGGTGATTCTGGTGCATGCCAATACCAAGATGCTGAGCGCGGGGTCATTACACTAGCCCAAGTGACCCCAACACGACGCACGACACGTTGCCTGCCTCAACCAAGCTAGGTGCACTGCCACTCTTGGACAGTCGAGAACCTCAGTGGCCCAACAGCCCTCCAAGCAAATACGTATGTCAAGCCATTTGCCCAAACACTCCAGGTTTAAAAGAGGCTTTGACCCACTGCTCTGAGATGTTGCTCAAATTCAGATCAATGAACATTCGTGTTTCTGCACGACACCCGAGGAAAAAAGAGCCTTGTGCAGCTGATGCAGTCGAGGACCTCAGAATTGGAGCTCCAAGGCACACAGTGCATCTTCCATGCGAGTCCTTACACCCCTCGACTCAGTCTATCCAAGAGGGTGACGAAGAACCTCCGTGCGCCACTCCATTCAAGTATCCAGCCTTGAATGGCAGGGAGGCCGACGAATCATCTTCAGACCCACCAGTCAAGGAGGTACTGTTCGATCCATCCTGCCCCGCTCCAGTCCTCCAAAAGGCCCGCATGGCTCCCCGGAGCGGCTCGGTTGGCACGCGTCACCGGCTCGATGAAGATATCCTCGGCACCGGCGCACGCCCCACGCCCAAATCGAATGTCCGAAAGCGAAAAATCTCCGAACTCCGCACTTGGACTGCGGCGGCAAAAAAGGAGTGGATTCCAGAATGGCAGATTAGGACAATGACATTCGACTGGATCAGAATTTCATCCAAGTCTTTGTGGGAACGCGGAGACGGCCGGAGATGGAGGCGGCCCTGAGTGGTGCAACTTTCACCGGTCACCGGAGATGGGCTCCCAGGCCTTCTTCGAGGGCCTCAAAACAGTCTTCAGCGCAAAGAGCCCGGAGATCGACCAAGTGAGGACCAAAAAGCTAGACTTGAGACAAAACAAACCCAGTTGCCAGAAAGAGCCCACGAATCTCCCAATGAATAAGAAAACATCAGAAAACAACCATAGACAGTCCCCTTTGCGATGACTTGGTCGTTTCTCTCATTTCCCCTGCTTTGGTCGTTTCCTCTGCCGATGGAAATCGTTTGGGGTCCAAGCGTTGGATCTGGCGGCTGCAATGGCAGCGTCATGGGAGTCGGATGAAAATGCTTGAAAATGCTTGAGCTTCTGAAAATACTGGTGCAAAGCGTAAAAACAAAGAGTACCTGAAGAGCTTAATGCGCTAAGGTCCGTGATGATTTCTGTCAAAGAATGTCAAACTCAATCATGGCTTTGTCACTTTGTCCTGTTCATCCATCTGCATCCAATGCCTTGAGTTTGCGTTCAGCTGCGCAGAGACTCTGTGCAAAAGGCCGTGGCTATGAACATCATACCCGCAATGATTGGGATCGCTTCAAAACGCAAAGTAGCTTTTTTGTCTCTTGTCCTGATGCAAGCCGGTCTCTACCTGAGAAGACAAAAGTTTGAGGAAAGGAGCATTCCCTTGAACTCTCATGGCGCGAGGAAGAATCACCATGGCCACATTCATGCAACATGATGCAGTCCTTTAAAAGGTCATAACCAATCTCCGCACCAAACGTGCCTCATCGGCGACAAACGCGGCAAAGTCGGGGAAGTCTTTCTGCAACCGTTTGGACAGACCTCAGTCTGTCCGCGCTCAGTCAGCCTTGTCATGGAATCCTTCTTCTCACTGTCGAGCCTTTTCAAGAGAAGCTCAAGCTGACGTGCTTTGACATGATCTGTCCGTGCTTTCTGAGCCACAGCGACTTACACGTAGGATGAAATTTAAGAGCACTGCGAAGTCGCTCTTCTGCGCATCTTGCTTGATAGCGAAGATCCGAACACAAGTGAGCCTGGTGACCAAACACCATCCACATCAATCGAACCCGTGACATCCGATGCTCTGTCTGGAACTGCCTGTGAAGCAGCGCGGCTCTTGAGCTCGGCATCCTGCCAAACGGATCACCGGGGAGCCTTGTTTTCACCGCGGTGAAGAAGGCTGCCCACGTCTTTTGGAACAAAATAAGAAAATGATTTCAAGATCTAAGAAAAGAAATGTCCTATACAGTCGCCTGTAGCTACTAGTAGTGCCCTTGGTACTAGTTACTAGTAGCGATGCCCAGCTCCAAACATCTCGTGCCTCCTCGGTCGCATCGATAGCTTCCATCAGCCTGGGCACACATGGGAAGCCGACCAAAGCTGAGAGGTGCGGCATCTGAGGAACGAACTCTTGCCGAACCTGGAAAGACTCCGAGATGGACTGAACAAAATCAAGTGAAAACAGCGAATCGAAATGGGGACGCTGGCATCTACCTCTACCCAAACCCGGCCAAAGAGCACGAGAGCGTTTCTGATACTCCTGCAATTTCCATTGAACCAAATGCCAACTCCACGCCCAGCTTAGGCTTAGATGCTGCGACGCGGGGATCACTTGCGCATCGGATCACTTACACGTCGGAGGGCTGTCCATTTTGACTAACAGTGACTAACACTCACATCAAACCCTTCCAGTGTTGAGGTGGATGGGGGTTAATGACGTTCACTTCAACTGAAATTCATATCAAACGCTCAGCACGGAAATGCCAACAGCTCAGCGACGCACAAGCGAAGAAAAAAGAAATGCGTTTTGGATCAGCGAAGCCCCGCCCCTGGATGCCAAGTCTAGGGTCCCAACCGAGGTAATCCGGGATGCCTAGCTCAAAGCAAAGTATAAGAAGCAGCCCGGAAAGCAGCGAGTCTGGGGCTAATAGTTCTGCGTCATCCGTCGTAGTATATCTTCCTTGAGACAGTTCTTACCAAGTATCTCACAAGAATCTTCGCACAAGGCACAAGCCCGGCATCTTCCAAGCCACCCATCATCCAAACTGTCTCTTCTTTCAAGGATCAAAACGGACTCCTCCTTGGCTGGCCCCGAGACCTTCGCTCTCGGCCCGAGCCCTGAGACACCCCACGTACTGCGTGGCCAAGTCCTGTGCCGTCTCCGGGTCCGGGGAGGTGCCCAGCACCTGCGGTGGAGCAGGCCTCCGGCGGCCTCTCCACCAGTCACCCGGTCACCGGCGGGCGAAAGGTGGGCGTCGTGGGCATCTGGTTGGTCACCGGTGCCGAACACATCGGAGAAATAGAGCACTCATTGAGGGGGGCGAAGTGGGCACGTGCCAGCTACAGTTGCGTCGGGTGCGAAAGGAAGTCGGCACTGCTTGAGAATGTTTGGGGGAACTTCCAATAATCGGTCGATGAGACAAACACAATCAAACACACAGGCGGCCAGTGATTCTGGGGTCACACGAGTTCACCAAAGCTTGGCAGGCTTCAAGTCCCCAAGCCATTCCACCTGGACTGTCTCGGCAAGAAGATCAAAGCACTCATGCAGTCTCAATCGAGTGCGCGAAGCAAGGCCCTCGCCGTCCTGAAAAATGGACATGCAGAAATGAAAAACTTCAAACCTCTATATTGTACCTGCTATTTGTCAAACTGTCAAGCTGTTCACACATCTCAATTCCGGCTCAAGAAATTCCAGCTCAAGAAGGTTAAGGTGATGTTATTTTCTTGTGGGCTTCTACTAGGAAAGGCAAATTCGGATTTCAAAAAATGTATATTTAAAAAAACAAAATAGAGCAAACCAAAAATGCTGATAAAAAGGGGCTAGATTCGGCTAGATTGATGCAATCCAAAAAAAGGCATACCAAAGTGCACAAAAAAATGGCTAGATTGATCCACTGCAACAAAAAAGGAAGCGCGGACTCGTTCGCGCGCGCGCGCTCTCTCTCTCTCTCTCTTTCTCTCTGTGTCTCCCTTAACCATTAAGGTGCATGTGCCAAAATGCAAACTTCGATCGAATGCCTTGCTGAGCTGTGGCTTCATGAAAGCGTCTACGGGCCCTGATAGGCTGGATTGGGGCCCTTGGATAAAACGGCCAAATATGGCCAAATAGATCCAAACGAATCCTACGGCTGAGAATGAGAGAACCATGACCTGCTTGACAAACATGTGTCAAGTTAGCACTCTGGGAAAGTGTTCTCATAAGCTTGTTGAGTTCAAAAGCTCCTTGAGCCTCACGCCCATGAGGGTGGGAACCACACATGCACTCAGGAAGGACAGAGCAAAATGCACGACCCAACACCAGCTGGGTCGAGCCATTCTACATCATGCTGGGTCGAGGTAAGCGAACCTCGCAGGAAAGAATTCTAGTCTATGCTACAAGATTACAAGATCAGGACACGAATGTTTTTGGCCACGTGTGTTTTTGTCCTTTGCTAAAAATCAGCGCTCGATTGAAATTACACTACAAAATCAAGTTGAAATGTTGAATATGACTCTATAACAGCATATTAGGGCAAGTCTGAACCTATAGCCACCACACTCTGCCAAAGACAAGGGATCACTTGAGCATCTTTTTGCCCTGTGAGCTGAGAGTCTTGCAGTTTCTGAGATTATAATTTGAGCTTCTTTGATGCAACTGAGTGCACGCTTGAATCCTAGGAACTGCGGATCAATCACACAATCACCTTCCATACGGCTGTCCAATCACTTCTCAATCCACATCACTTGCCTCCACAACAAATAACTGAGTTGACAGAGAATCAAATTGGGTTGTTCGACAAGACCACTCACTGAACTGGTGGTGAATGAGGCAATGAGCCAAAAAAACGAAAGCCTGGAGCATCCCCTCAATTATGTAGTCAAAGCAGGAGACACATTTTGCAATCCAAGCTACCATTCCCCTTCGTCACGCCATCGAGCCTGTCACGCGAAAGCCCCACACCCGTGATCGAAAAGGCACGCTGTTTGAGAGCTTGAAGAAGTAAAATAGCTTGTGGAAAAATTAATAAGTAACATAAAATAAAGAGCAGAATATAGCAGAATTACCTTCTGGAACACTTTCCCTGACTCTTCCGAGATCTCAACACACTTCTACACTCACCTTGGATCCCCCAAATGAACCCCACACCAACGTCCCTCGGATCCGCCAGACTCCCGGTAACCCCCAGCGAGAGCGTGCCCTGCCGTGGCACCTTCACCTCTCCGTCGGGAGCTCGCTCCAAAGGGTTGGCATCCAGGTACTCCCCCTGATGTCCTCGCCTGGAAACGAAATCGGACCGAACATCTCACGGAAAACCAGACTCCGACGGACTCTTTCGCGAAGCTCCGGATCGTCCAAAGATTCGAACACCAAGAAGGCCAATTCGGTGCGAGGCCAGATCGATCCATCCTGTCACTCCTCTTTCCACTTCTAAGGCTCCAACAGAAAAATCTGGTCACCAGAATAGATGTCACCTCCATCCTGCATCAGGATCTCATCTGTTCTGATCCTTGTCGTCAAAGTCAGGCCATGACCACGCCTGCTTGACAATGGTGATCTTCTGCCACTCTCCTCGGGGATCGTAGTACCTAGCACCTGACGAGCTGACATCAGCATCAGTGCCGCTCTGGACCCTGCAAACCACCCATCACCAACTGGGGGGGAGGGCGAACGGCGCTCCCAAGGACATCCATATGAACTCCAGTCCTTGGGCAAAAGAACACACCCTTTGGCCGGCGCGACGAAACGAAGGAGTTCCACCAGATCGCACATGCATCAGCAAGGACCGCTTGAGAAGTGGTCAAAATGATCTGCCAACAAAGGATATAGGATTGGACTGGTGCTCCACCACAAAGGGTATCCCATGTCTGTCCCGTTTGAACCCCAAGGGAAATGACATGAAGGAAAGAAACTGCAACTGAGCTGGATCACGGCATCACAAACATCACCACGTCGCCGTTCTTCACTGGTTCTTAGCAAGAACTGGAACTGCTAGCAGCTAGCTTCGTCCACAGTCCAAGAGAAGTAGTTTTCTCACTCTAAGGCTGCAACCATCTCGATTGTTCATCTTTTCAATCGTGAGCGCATGTTCCTTGTCCTTCTGCTTACCGCGGGCCTCGTGCAAATGAAACGACCAAAAGAGAGGCCTCGCAGGTTTCCTCCAAACCCGTCTGCCATGCCTTCACCCATTCCAACTTTGTGGTGCCATCTAATTCTCCCACGTAGCGGCCAGTCATCACCTGCGTAGCGTACCCGTCCACAGGTCCACGTGTTGGAGAAGCAACGCGCGAGTCAAGCAACGCGCCGAGTCCCAAGCCTGCCAGCTCCCGCCGGCCCGTCGTCCATTGGACCGCAAACGTCAAGCCTCGCCTTGATGTAGACTGTGTCTCCGTGCATTATTTTTTCTCCTGCGCAGACCACAAATATTTGCTGACATCACATGCATCAATCGAATCTGCTGCAGGTCTTGATCTGTATCTCCAGAGCCCTATGAACATGCTGTACTTTCAAAAGTGAACGCGCTAGAAGTCGAGGCATGATGCATTTTTTTGTCTCGTGAAGATGCCCACTCAACCGACAAAATGCCCATGGCAGGAACTCCTGTTTGTTTCTTTGCTGCCCGTAGCTGGACCAAAGAGCCACGATCGATTCCCGGAGTGCGGATTAAGCCTCAACAGGCAGCAAATGGCAGCAAAATTGTTCAAACTCCACACACAGATCAACGTAGTTTGACGTAGTTTGAGATAAATTTATCGCAAATTCAAGTTACAAAAGCCGGCAACTTCTGAAGCTGATATCTTTTGAACCGAAAGCGAGTTCAGCCGCAGCAAACTGCGCGATGCACTTAGCCGCAAGCTGCGTCGAGGCTCATCGTTCCGGGCAGTGAGAGATCCAGCCAACTGAGGAGATCGGGCACCTGCCGCACGCACAATGATTCCAAGGTGGCACAGTAGCTCATGTAGAAAAAGGGAACATATACGATTGGAATCTGTTAGAGGCAACCCTGATTTACAAAAGTACCTTGCCACTCGACACAACATCTTCTTTCCTGGCCTTGAACAAACAGCTCACCGGAATCTTCGCCGAAGAGAAGTGACTCAGGGAAGCGAAAATCTCTCTTTGTTCTTTGAGAAGAATCACTATCATTTTTTGCACTCACTGTTTTTGGATTTGGTTCGTTGCTGTAGGTAAGGATAAAAAGAACCCTTCACGGGCAGGGGTTGAATTCTGAATCCTGAGAATCTGGCACATGTCCAAGTCAGTGCACCAATGATGGGTACGATCAATAGCCGCGATTGCCTCGGATGTCGATTGATGATCATAACTTATGTGTCTGTGGGTCACCTTCACTCAAGCATTGCAGCCTCGCTCTCAAATGTTTCAGCTCCATCGCGCTGATGGTGCGGGGCGGCGCCCACTCCGCAAGATGATGGACGCTTTCAACTTGAAATGGCATCCCGGACGGAAAAGTCCAACAGAAAATTTAATGCGTGATCGTGCCAAGAGAACTGTCACAATGGCGCATGTTTTTAATTTGCAAGCGCGCATGCATCACACAATAGAATATTTAAATTTGCAGGGAAAAATCGTTGGGTGAGCAAGAACCTTCGAGTTCGTTCTATATTTGGGTAGTAATACACGTATATAAATTTTGTTCCACACTGCTCTCTGGCTTACCAATCGCAATCTTCGTCATTGATGCCTGGCAACCTTGAATGTTGGTCGGAAATTTGATTTTAGAACATAGGAACGCATCTTCATCACACACTTTTGAATTTCCCAACAGCATGGTTCCCAGTTTTTGCTTTGTTTGTCTGCAGCGGTTCATCTGAAGGCACTCTCAGATCCAAAAAACAATCCAAGCTAGTTTGGGGTGGTTGGGAGGGCCATGAAGGTTCGTAGGAATGATGGTGTCCATGGCTGAAAGGAACCCTGAGGGTTTGCAAGCCAAGGCTGGTGGGACTCATGGGCGCTGATAGGGACCATCAGGGCTCAAGGAGGAGGGTGAGCAGGGCTGACAGGACAGGATTTTGATGAGAACCATACGGGGCTTCGTGTTTTTTGCGTCGATAATCAGTGTTTTTCTGACAGTAACTGGTTACGGTGCTTTTTGCGTCGGTAGCTTCATCGGTGTTTCTGCGTCAGCTCGTCGGTGCTTTTGTGACAGTGCACAGTGTTTTTTGCATGTGCAAGCGGTGTTTATTGGGACACACAACTAGTGCTACTACTACTACTGCTGCTACTACTGCTACTACTGCAACTACTAGTAGTAGTAGTAGTAGTAGTAGTACTACTACTACTACCACTACTCCTACTACTACTACTATTATTACTACTATTACTACTACTACTACTACTACTACTACTACCACTACTACGACTACTACGACTACGACTACGACTACGACTACTACTACTACTACTATTACTACGACTACTACTACTACTACTGCTACTACTACTACTACTACTACTACTACTACTACTACTACTACTACTACTACTACTACTACTCTCTACTAGAGGAACCAGGTTGTGCGTGTTGAGGTTGAAGCTGAACAGATCGTTCCAGAGCTAGAGGTTGAAGGTCAGGATGTTTCAGAATCACAGGTTGCTCACTCCACTACGGTGGACGAGGTGTTGTTCAGACAAGGTGATGCATCAATGGACGAGGTGCCAGTTGGAAGAGAATTTGCTCGTGTGACTTCAGCCAAGCGATCTTCAGAGACGCCCTTGGATCAGTTGGAGAAAGAAATGGAAGAAGAGAGAAGTAGACCAAGACTTGCGTCGAGTTTGATTGATGTGTTCGAGCATGCTTTTCTAGCTACTGAGTCTGACGCTCCCGTTCGAGATCTTCCTTTGTTTTCGGTTCAGTTCGCTTCGAACGCCACAAGTGTGATTGTTCCGTTTGGGAAGGATAAAATTCGGATTTGGGAACCTAGCTCAGCTGTTGACGATACGACCCTCAAAGAATTGTCAGGGGAAAGCACACTTTTGGGTATGAAGAAAGAAGTTCAGAATCTTTCAGATTTAGAAACAGGAGATCTGTACACTCACAAACAGTTGCAGCAAAAGGGTTTGTTGGAGACCTGTCGGGTGATTCCGACACGTTGGATGACCACAGACAAAGGAGGTGGCGTCACGAGATGTCGCATTGTGATCAAGGATGTGGCTAAGAACAGTGAATCGGCCAGAACGTTGGGGATTAGCTCGCCAACTCCATCTTCGGATGCGCTACAGACCTTTCTTGGGTTGGCTGGCTACTATGATTTGCTTGCTCGGAAACAACGTGATGGGCCAGTACATCGGGACATTGTAGAGAAGATTGCATCAGGTGTTGCTTGGCGGAATGGTTGGACTCGACTGGTGCATACAACTTTTGTCCAAATCCCACAAGTTGTGAGTGGTCAAGTCTCGATTGCAATGCCCATGAGGCTTGTAGTATTCGAGCTGCTGTGAAATCCGCAAGAGCCTCCTTTGAGGATTCTTAGTCGCACACATGTTTGCCAACTGATGTAACTTTAATCTTGTTTCAAGATTTGTGCACTTGTTGACAGATTGTTCTTGTGATTTCGGGTTCAAGGAAGCTGGGCCATTTGCTTCAGATTGGACAGCCAAAGTGGCGAGATTCAGTGGTCGAAATGATGCACGCGATTTCTATAGGGCAACGCCCCTACCTGTGGACCACAGGCTGAATGTGCTAGGTGTGCTTTGCAAGTTTGCTTGCGTGTCGCCAAATTCAACCATTGGTAATTAACGTAGTAGCTAAGGAACCAACCTTTGTCCAAATCAAAGCGAAGCAGCCAGACGTCACAGTGGCTTCCATGGAATTACCAGTGCTTTTACCCCATCACATTGTAGAGCACCTCCTTGAGTGTGGCTTAGATATCAGCAGCCAACTTGTCGGTTCGTTCTGGAAACACCTAGAGCGTGTTGGAGATGAATGGGCACTATTGACCCGGCCCTTCCGCATTGCATCGGAGTCTTCAGTTTGGCCGATTGCACTGTATGGTGATGAAGCATCAATGATGTTTCAAAACGCACCGAGCCACAAAATCATCGGGGTGTTCTTAAGCCTGCCACTGTTTAGGCCCAAGTGTGCAAGACTTAGCCGTTATATACTGTTTTCCATCGAGAGCTCCAAGGTGGTGGACGTTGTTTCATCATTGTATCCAGCATTTGAGGCCATTGTCGCTAGTTGCAATTTGCTTGCCGAGCAGGGGGTGCAAGGACGAAGATTTTTAGTCTCTGAAATCAGAGGCGACCAAATGTGGATACGGAATTTGTTTCGGCAAAGGGCTCATTGGGTATCACATGAGGTGTGCTTTAGATGCAAAGCAAGGGCAGATACTACTTCAAACCTTCGATACACAAAGTATGACTTTTCCAACGATGGATGGCATACAACTCGGCGATCTCGTTGCGTACTCGAAATGTGGTGGCCAAGCTGCCCATGAGCTTGACAGATCAGGATGGTCGGTCGATCTACTTGCATCTCAAGAAGGCATTGAACGGCTTGAGATCAGCTTCACAAGAATGGACAGTTTTTCTCACGGAAATCATTTCTGTTCTTGGATTGTCATCGGATGACATCGAGCCGTGTTTGTTTTCCGGTCGATTGAAGTCGGGTGGAATG